TGGTCGGCTGTGGGCGCCGGCGACGCTGTCCTATTATTGTAAATCGCAGTAGATCTGGCTCCGTTAGAGGGTCTGGTGGTTGCTTGGTCGGCTGTGGGCGCCGGCGACGCTGCCCTTTTGTAAATCGCAGTAGATCTGGCTCCGTTAGAGGGTCTGGTGGTTGCTTGGTCGGCTCTGGTCGGCTGTGGGCGCCGGCGACGCTGAGAACTGGCGACTTTGTAGTATAACTTTAGTACGCGGAGCAACCTGGGGAGCTGGAAGCTGAGAACTGGCGAGTTTCTAGTGCAACTTTAGTACGCGGAGTATCTGTGGAGCTGGAAGATGAGCACTGGCGACTTTGTAGTACAACTGTAGTGCTCGGAGTAGTGGGGGAGCTGGAAGATGAGAACTGGCGACTTGGTAGTACAACTTTAGTACATCATGCCCCATAGTGCGGACGTGCGACAACCGCTGGCGTTGTTGGCTAGTTGTGGCTGCGCACACCTGTGTGCACAATACCTCGTACATCCGTCGTGCACATCACTCTCTTACACCTTCTCTCCCACCCCTCTGTTGTCGGAAGCTGATATCACTTCCTGACAAGGCCGTGCTGTAGAAGCTATTGAGCCTCTGACTGCTTTGTGCTTTAGAACCTTCAGATTCATAAAGATTCATATGTGGGGTTATCCGGTCCTTTAATTCTTTTGACAGAAACATCTGGTTGACAGTCGCCGAAAAGATCTGGATCAGCAGGTCTATGGTCTTTTGGTGCGGGCAGGTGCTTTTGTGCCTTCGACGGACAAGGCTCGCAGCCGTGCAGAAGAAAGTCGAGATTCCGTTTTGAATTCCTAGCTTCTATTTATTTCTTGTTTCTAATAGCTTCTTGTTACTACTAGTAAGGCACTTGTTACTAGAAGCGATGCACTTGTTCCTAGTAGCTTGTTGTTTCTAATAACTTCTTGTTCCCAGTAAGGCCAGGAGCCTCGATCGTAGCGTCGTCCTTGCTCATGGCAGGATGGCTCGCAAAAGATATGAGCGCTTTCAGCACTGGATGTTCTGATCGCCGTAACGGGCTAGTGATGGAGTACTAGGTTGGAGGCCATGGCTACTGGGGCCGTAGCGGGCTGGTGATGGAATGGCCATGACTGCGCTTGTGAATCTCAAGGCCCACAAAGTTCAAGAAGACGGCAACAAGGCCTTACTAGGAGCAAGTAGAAACAATGTTCGCTGCTAGGAACAAGTCCATCGCTACTAGGAATGTTCGCTACTAGGAGCAAGTGCCTTACTAGTAGTAACAAGAAGCTAGTAGAAACAATAAGCTACTAGGAACAAGGCAATGAATGAATATTTAGTAGAAAGCATCCTTCACTTCTCACTTTCGTTGGAGGCCATTGCTACTAGTGCAGAAACATCACATAGACAGTCATGCTAGGTGCAGTTGGTTCAGTGAAGGAAGTCACAGACCTCTCAAGGATTCAAGGATCACTTTCAGGGAGTCAGGCGCCATGCTGACATGCTTTGTTTATGCTGCTTTCCAGCCCCTTCCAGGACACCTGGATGTCCGCTCTGTGTTTACCGTGCTTAAAGAATAACCAATGTCTACCAATGTCTCAGTCGTTTCGAGCTGGAAGTCTTGATGTTTGGCTATTAGGTTTGCTATTGGGAGCAAGGGCATCGCTACTAGTAGCTCTTGGCATCGCTACTAGGAGCAAGGACGCTATTAGCTTCGAGGCCATCGCTATTAGGTTGGAGGGTCTTAGGGTACACTTTGGCTACTTAGGGGCCAATCGTCTCGGGTAGAAATTGCGCCAAGCAATTCAAGGGTGAAGTAGGGACTGAATTTCTTTTGGGCAACAAGGCGTTGCAAAAGTTTGTGGCAAAAAGGCAGCGTTGAGCTGCCGCAATTTCTAACAAATTTCAGGCCAGCATTTGACACTGGCAGAGTCAAAACCGCTTTTCAACGAGACTCAAACTCACAGGTCCGCTTTTTAGCTGGGATGTGGACATGTCAAATGGAAGTTCTCTTGTGCGAAAAAAACAAGCTTGTTCATTGTGCAAAGGAGTTGGTGCTGTCACTCTGTCAGCTACTTGCTTTGTTTCTTTTCTCCATCACCTTTCATTGTGAGCCTGCTTGCCCTCACATGATTGAATTCCTGACCTGAGATTCGAATTGGTGCATTCATCGCTTTACGGGCTCTATTCGACAAGCATTTTAAGACTATTCGAACTCACATTCCGACATCGTGGTTTGCACCAGCCACAAAAACTAGCTCAAACGAATCTCATTAGGTTGGAGGCCATCGCCAGTAGGTTGGAGGCCATCGCTACTAGGGTGGAGGCCATCGCTAGTAGGTTGCAGGCCTTCGCTATGTAATATAAATACATGGCTCTCGGTGTCAAACAGCTGTTGCTTCCAAGTTCTGTAGCCACTAGATTGTTTATGGTACGCAAGGCACAAACGGTGGCGTCAACGGTTCCTTCTGAATTCTAGTTAAACGTTGCTCGTTGTTGAAACCGTTTCTCTCATTTGCCTCAAGCCATCATGATTCATGCATCATAAGTGCAACCTCGGCATTCCTCTCAAAGTCTCAAGAAAAGGAAGCCTACACATCAGAAACAAGAACACTCATCTTCTGTCATTTCTTTTGTCACCTCCATCAAATTACCCGGAAGCGAAACTCCAAACTCATCTCCTGCGCGTTGTGCCGTATGTAGCATGAGGTGACAGCTCTATATTTTTAGGTTCACCTGGTTTTTTTACTTTCAGATGCATTAGTAGCTTCTTGTTACTAGTAGCGTCCTTGCTCCCAGTAGTACGGCCAGGAGCCCCTAGTAACGTCCTTGCTCCTAGTAGCGATGCCCTTTGCTCCTAGTAGCGTCCTTGCTCCTAGATGCATTTCGCTTAAGTTGTCAAGTTGCAGTTCGCGTACCCACGTTTGGCGTCAGTTTCCCAAACTAGCAGTGCCTGCAGCAAGGATTCGACCCGAGGAAAATGTTCAGTCGATTTTTCCACTTTATACCAAAAGTTTATCCAGGCAAAGCTGAACATGTTGCCCTATCCCCTCCAACATGTTTGGGTCAGTTTGGATGGCTTCAAGAGGAAGGTTTGGATAAAGGAGCTGAAGAATATGGGGTGCAGCACAGACTGACGAGGTTGCAGTAAAGTTGCTCCCCGAAAGGATTGAGTTTGCATCAGCTTCTCTCGTCGAGGAGTTTGGCCGACGCGGAACTTGTCACCAGGCCGAGCCGCACAACCGAGGAAAGGTCGTACCTTTTAGCGATGCACTTGTTCCTAGTAGCGAACATTGTTACTACTAGTACG